GCAGCACAGAGTCTGGCACGCACACAGCACTCGGAGAGACTGACGGCGGTGATGATTATTCGATGTGCATCTTGACAAAATGACCAAATTCCATTAGTCCAGAAAGTAGCACAAGCAGGCAGGGCCGCAGGCCTCACTCTTGGGTTCCAAGAGAGGAGAGGCCCAGCATTTTTTCCTTAAGGATATTGTTTTTCCCTCTCAAATCAACGAAGAGAATGCCTTGGGGGCGTTGAATCAGAAAACAAAACAAATCAAAAAAACAAAAAATAAACCAACCAGGCCAGAGGAGCTACCTGTTAAAGCAAAAAACAGTTATGACCAAAGGACTAGCCGTGGGCATGGAGAGTACTTCTGCACTTGGGTTAAAGTAGGTAATTTCGCTCAAATACTGTGTTGCAGAAGGCTGGTTCCTGTGTCGCTCAGCCTGCGCTCACTCCAGCCAAGGCCACTGCGGCCTGGAGGTAGTGGCGTTTCTCACAGCATTAGCACCGGCGACCGATGAAAGACGGGAAGCAGCCCGAGTCAGACCATGATCAGAGTGCTTCCTCCCAGGGCACAGACATCTATTCTGGGTTTGGGCTGTTTTCCAAGTTGGGCTACACGATGATAAACAACTGGATTTTTTAGGGGTGGTAAGGATGGGGAGTGAATGAAATTTTAACTAGGTACTTTGCAAAACACACTTAAAAAATCATTGACGAAACTATTGAGTGGAAAAGTTAGAGACAAAGAATTGTTTGTGCTTATGAAAATATTTCCTGTGGAGCTCTCTTGTTTATTCATTAATGTTTGGGCGGACCCACATTTTTGACAAAACGTTTGTGTTTTCCTATCGAGCTAGGACTTTCTTTTATAGGCTGTCAATAATTATCTCTCTGACTTTCAAGAATAAAAATGGAAAAGCATAAAGTTTAAGGAATCAATGACCTGGTTTAAGTTTGCTGAGAATTTCAGAATGCTGTCCATGACTAAAACTGACCAAGTAAATCAACATAATTTGAAGAAGTAAATTAACCCAGGATGACAAAATGAAGAGACGTCTCCCAAGGAACCTCATAAATTTTGTGCTTGATGCATTTCTAGTCTCTGATTTCTAATAAAATTCTCATGAGAACATAGTATTGCACCATAAAAACTCCTGAGCTCTCTGCATGAGAACCGGCTGGTTTATAAGGCCACATGGGTTCAGGGCTGTGGTTTATTTATTAAAAATTTCTCAGTAAATATATCATGGACGGCAGGATGGTGCCTTGTGATTCTAGCGAGGCCATGCATCAATCCTGCTGTCCCAAGTCTGAAAGAAAACAAGAAAAAGCACGTCAGGAACTCTCTGACCCAGAAAAAAAACAACACACACAAAACTGCAACCTTTTTGTGTTGTGCTTTTAAAAGGAAGTTCTAAGCTCCTTTTGTTTGCCTTCAACCCAGGAGGCCTCATGGGAGTTTCGCATTTGCCTAAGGTCTGGCTAAAATGGCTCCCAGCGAGGCCTGCAGGAGGTAGGGGACGGTGGGTGGCTCTTGTTCCTGCCAGGGGGACAGGACAGAACAAAAGCTGCAGCTAGGGCGTGGAGGTGGTTTGAGGCTCTCCGAGGCCTGGGAGAGGGGAAGTGTCTTCACGCAGTCACGAGGCTGAACTCGGGATGGCTTCCTGTCCTCTGCACACACGGCCCAAGGCAGACAGGTAGACTTGATGAAGCTCACAGTCCCAAGAAGGGGGAAGGGGGGGTGTTAATCCCCAGGGCAGGAACCCCAGCCCAGAGGTGGGGGGCGGGGCACAGGCCTGGAGCCCCCCTTCTTTTTCGCTCTAGGTAGCCGGCCTCTCTTCCTACAAGTTTGGCGCTCACAGGGGTCGCTCATCTGACCCGGTTCGACTGGGCCTGGGGCTCGTTGACCTCTCTGGGGGCCCCCAGGCCAGGAGGAAGAGAGCCCCTTGGTGGCGGGACCCCTGTGGACTCTGGGCCCCCAGCGCGGGAGCCTTGCCAGCACTCAGTGTGGGCACTGGCAGATGCAGTGTTTACTCACACGTTTCGGTGGATAAGAATAGGTTTTGGCCCCAGGCTGGGAAAACATAATTAAGAACAAAATGTAATAGATTGTGTTTTTTCTAAATGCAGCTTGAGGTTTACAACAGAGTGAGCAGAAGGTCGGAAGACCTCTCGTTCCCCCGTGTCTCCTCCCACGCATCCTTCTGAACTGTCACGCTGCCACTCGGGGGCTGAGTGTCACTACCTGTCAGCCACGCTCACGTCTCGCCGTCACCCGTGTCACCCTGTCAGGCTGCACAGTGGCCGCTCTTGGGGCTGCACACCCGTAGGTCTGGACAACACACACCGTGATACTGCCATCACCTTGCCCACATGAGTTCTCTTAGCTCAAAGCTCTCCACCCTCCACCTGCTTGTCCCTCTCCCCCCCCCCCCACAACCGCCCTGCAGCCTCTGGTCCCCTCTGCCTGGGCTGGAGCGACACACGAGGAGCCTTTCAGAGCAGTTTCTTTCCCTCGGTGACCCAGGTTTAACTTTCCTCTATGGATCTCCATGGCCCGATCTCATTTCACTGTGGCACTGCTGAGAAGCTTCTTGGCTGAGATGACCATGGCTTTTTCTTCACAGAAAGGAAGAGCTGAGGCCCACGGCCCGGGAGGCCCATTCTGGAATATTCTCAGACCCTGAGGAGGCACAGAGGGTGACTTTTGCCGAGTGGCAGCAGCCATGGAGGCCAAACTCGGGGCCTGTAGGAGCCTCAGCCCGCCAGGCCCAGCCGGCGTGCGTGACCCTGCCTCCACCTCCCCCACAGCAAGCCTAGCTTCTGGGAGAAGAAAATGGACGGGCATTAATGCTGCCTTCAAGTAGAAGGGCATCTGCTATCAAAAATGACGCCCAGCGTGCTTTTTTCTGTATTGGAAAAGCATATAACTCTATTTGAACACCGAATTATCTTCATCAACACACTCAGTGCCAACCAGGGCTGGCTGGTAGCTTTGGGGGAAAGTCCTGCTTTGCACCAGCTCCCCACAGGGTGCTGCTGTGGGTGACTGGGAGCCCAGGATTCAACATACCAGGACCAAGCTTGGAGAGCCATTAACCCAAGGGGCCTTCAGGGCCTGGCGGCCCCGAGGGAGGGGCGTGAGCTCCACCTACTGACGGAGCTCCGGGCTGGAGTCCAGGTCTCAGGTGCTGGCTCCCATCTCTGGGTTGGAAACTGGTGCGTTGGTGTTGAAAGCAAAGCCTGAAGCGACATGTGTAGCGTAGTGCTACCACAATAGCTCACCGCGGCTTGTCTTCATAAGCAGGTCCACAGGACCTGTCGGCCCCTCCAGCCTTAAAATGTTCGTGGTAATTCTTTGTCTATGCATACACAAAAAGGGGTTTTGCAACTCTGAATTGTGGCTCAGCATTTACCACACATTAAGGGAGAGAAGTAGGTAACGGGCCATAGATTTCAAAACCACGTCCAGCTAAGCCAGAAAAGGTTCTTAACTGGCAGGAGCTGGAGGTAGATGACTAAAGGTTCTGAATGTTTTAGTAACTCTACAAAGTTCAATTTAGGTCCACCTAAGATCAAGCACATTATTTCCTGACTGTTGGAGGGGGGAAAATGCACATGGACCTTCAAATTCTTAAGGCATTTGAGAATGGACAGTTATGTTTGAATATCAGAGTAAAACATCATTCATTCGTTTTGCAGTACTGGGGTTGATCTCGCGGCCGTGCTCGCTAGGCCGATGCTCGGGGGGGGTAAAACTGTATCGCCATCCTGTCTAGATGGCTGTGACTGCAACTCCACCTCAGCCAGGACGGCCCCGGGCGGGAGGAAGGCAGGGTCTTAGCATTTGGGGCACTTGTGCTGTGTTTGCAGATCTGGGCGAGTTGCTTTTTGAGGGTCATTTTGTTGACCACGTTGAGTCGTGTCTGTGTCCCTGTCTGCCAAGACTGAGGACAAAGCTCTTCTGTGGCTCTACATGAGATCACCAAAGGAGGGCAAGGTGTCCAGACGCACTTCTATGTTCCCAGAGCAAGGGGTGTAAACCCCGTGGAGGGGGGCGGTCTGAGCTGGAGAGCCCCAGGGGCACCAGGAAGCAGGGGAGGCCGAGCGGGCGCACCAGGTCTCAGGGAGACCAACTCCGCCTGGTGTGGAGCCCGGCCTGGGGAGGCGGGGTGGTCTGAATCTTAGGGTTGGGATGGTGCTTGGGGTCTTTGGGCTGGCTTGTGTTCTCCCAGATTCATCGGAAGGGAGTGCGGTGAGCAGACCCCCGCAGCGTTCACAGTGTTCCCATCCTCGCCCCGCCCTCCCCACCCCGGCCTGGCCAGCACGTGAGAAAATCCCCAACGGGCTTGAAACCTGCGGGTGTCACATTCTCCAGCTGGAAGAATTGCACCCCGAGGCCCGGACCCCACGGGGCGGGGAGAAGCCCACGCAATGCCACGAGTCCAGCCACGAGCGCCTCGGTGTGGACTTCGCCATGGTGATTTCCTTCTGTGGGAGGTTAATATAAAATCCAGATCACGGCTTTCGCCACGGAGCAATTCACGCTGCGGCTGGGGGAGCGGTCGCCGACACCTGCCGTGGTGGCCAGCGGGGACACTCGTCAGACTTGTGAGATTGATGGGTGGGGGGCTTGGGTTGGAGGACCTTGGAGCAGACCCTTGTGAACCTGCTTTGTCCTGCCTTTCCAACAGGGTCTTACTAGGTAGCCAAGGGTAGACTGGGATGCTCGCTCCATTGTCCTGCCTTCGCCCCCTAGTGGTGGGATTACAGGAGTGCAGCACCAGGCTCGGCTATTCCTCCTTATGTTTCCTTCCCCGACCCAGTGGCGGGATGGAGGAACGCACCGCTGGCCTAGCGAGCTCCCACACACCTCTGTTCAGGCCTCGCTGCGTGGAGTGGGGGGCAGGGTGGCTGTGTACCTCGTGGTTCTCCTGGCCCTGCGGGCAATCTCCCCCCTCTCCTCAGCCGGCCTGGGCCCTCCCTGGTGGTCTGGGGTGGGAGTGGATGTGACCTTCACCCCCAGCTGCGGTCAGCCTCTGCCACGCTGGTGCTGCCATGCTTGTCCAGGAGGAAGCTGAGACCACTAAAAAGACGTGGAGAATGCCTTACGTCCGCTTCCTCCCGCGTGCACGGGTGGGAAGAGCGACAACCTGGCATCTGCCTGCTTGTTTCCGTGGAAGTGCTCCTGAGTCGCGCGGAGAGGCGCTCCGCAGGAGGACACTGACCAGGCGTCCACAGCGTGGCTCGGAACACGGCCACCTTCATGTTCATCCACGCCAGGAGTGGCGGACAGGCTTGAAGCGGCCCGGCGCTGTGGGAAAGGCGGCTCACGCGACTTCCCACGCTCCCTCCCGCCCGCGGCACCGCCCCCGCTCGCCCGCAGAGGGCGCCCGCCCGCCGCTCAGACGGGGCCAGGCAGCCAGGGCTGGCCGCCAGGAAATGACCACCGGCTGGAGGGTCTGGTCCCTGTACCCAACCATGGAGACCATCTTCTCCCATCATGAGAGCCAGAGCGAGAGCGAGAGCGAGAACATGTGTGCGTGTGTGTGTGGGGGGAGGGCTGAGGTGGCCGTCCAGGAGCTCGCCCCATCACTGAGAAATGCCTCACATCCAATGCCTCCTAAGGCAGGCGCTCGGTGCCTGCCACCCATGCGTGCAGCAGGCCGAGCAGGCCGGGTGCCTGGTCACTAGAGATCTCTGGACCAGCTGTCCCCTCTGACCAGCTGTCCCCTCCTGCCCAACTGTCCCCTCCCAACCAGCTGTCCTCTCCTGCCCAGCTGTCCCCTCCGACCAGCTGTCCTCTCCTGCCCAGCTGTCCCCTCCCGACCAGCTGTCCCCTCCCAGCTGTCCCCTCCCGCAGGCCTGCAGAGCTGGGCTTCTGCTTGGGCAGGCGGCACTGTGAGGAAGGTTTGGAAGGTTCTGAGGGGTGCGGGGAGGAGAGGGAAGCGAGGCGGCTGGACATGGGGATCTCAGAGCAGCCTGGGCACTTTCAGTCCCATCGATGAGAAGCACACAGCCCGGATCTGCTCCGGGGTTTGTATTCTCTCACCAGGAGGCTCCACACAGTGTAGGATAATAATTTTTTTAAGAAATGATGTCAGGAAACACTAAGGCTTTCCTTGAAGCCCCACCGGAGAGGAGACACAGGAGCCATGCAGTCCTAAAGGGAAGCATGTGATGATGCAAACCTGGACCCCCCTGTCCCCCCCCCCCAGCGTGCTGGAATCTCCCCTCTGCGGCCGTGCTGCGTGGCGTGTGGAAATCATCGAGTGCATTTGTCAGGCGTGCAGGAGACAGAGGAGGAAGGGGTGTGTCCCAGTGTTGGGCGTGACACTCCTCTTACGACCCCATAGGGCCCCTCGTGGTGTGCGTGGCGTGTGGACCTGACATCTTAGCCCCCTGCCCCTCCCCCCCAGCACGGGTCGGACGATGAAGCTGGCCCAAGCGGTGGACTCGGCCTCAGGGGTGGAGGTGAGGTGGGGCCCTTCCGCAGGCCTCAGGAATGACCATCGGGGGTCCACAGCGGCGGGGTGGTTTAGATTCCTCCGGGACCCACGCGGGTCTTCTTGTTCTGAGCGACCTGGGCCTCTTCCAGGGCCCCCCACCAGGATGGGGCTGGCGCTGGGCTGGGCGGCCGGCTGGGCGAGACTCATCTTCCCCAGTGTCCTCGCGGAGTGGTGGGACATCTGTGGTGTCACAGGGCCACCTTCCCCATGGGAGGACACGGTCCCCTCCATGGTGGCGCTGAAGGACAGCGTCGCACTCTCCTGTCCTTCCGCCCCCCTCAGCTGCCTGCCGGCGCCCGCCCGAGGCCCGGGCGGGCCTGGTGCCCAGGCTCTGGGCTGCCCTCCCCGGGCACCGCACACGGCTGCCCGGCAGCCCCGCATCCTCGCGCTCGCTTGCTGGCGACGGAGACGTAACTCAAGGTGTCCAGCAAGTCCATCTCTGCTCTGGGGGCAGCTTGGAGCTTGGGCCTGCTCCCTGCAGCTGGGGGACCCCGGGAGGCCTGGGGAGACATGGGCATCCTCTGCAGGCTGTAATGCGGAGCGGCCAGGGCTGTGCTCCCCAAAGGCTGCGTGGAGTTGGACACGCCGCCCGACTCCAGAGCGAGTTTCACCAGCCAGCAGTGGCGGCGGCTGAGGAAGCAGCTGGGCCGGAGCCCTGGCTCGGCGCTCCCGTGTCTGACTCCTCTGTACTGGCCAGCCCGCAGCCGCAGCCTCGGGTGCGGCCCCAGCCGGAGCTTCTGGGCCCTGCGCTGGCCGGGGCCGAGGCCTGGGGAGAGGATTCTGCCTCCACTCTGCGACTCCCCGCGGGGTCCAGCACTGCTCTCTGAAGCCCCGCCAGATGCCTGTGGCTTTGGGATGTAGCGGCTGTAATAGAGGACCAGAGAGACACTACCTGAAAAGGAAAACGTAACAGAGGCTCTATCTCGTGACAGTCTGCACCGTGGCCTGGGATTTCAGCCCCACGCTCCAGTCATTTTGAGCCAAGTAGTGCAGTTTGGGACCCAGAATAAAACTCTTAGAAGCTCCCAAGTGGACACTTTGGAGGGAAATGGAAGGCGTCGCTCCCTTTGGTTCTGTCTGAGTCTTCTTTCTCGAGGGCAGCTCTTATCAAGGGCTTAAGCCGTGTGCCTGCGTGTGTGCGCACAGGTCTGTCTGCAAGATGCGCGGTGGAGATTTCATTCCAATTTCCCTCTCTGTGGGTCCGACACTCCAAGTGGCGCCACCAGCACCCGGTGGATGGGGGCCAGAGCCGGGGGAGGCAGGAGGTAGCCTCGGGCTCGAACAAGAGACAGCGAAGCCGCGGGGGTGAGCGCACTCCTGAAAAGCCCGCGTGCCCAGGAGTTTCCGTGAGCAGCAACAAGCCTTCCTGTGTGCACAAACATCTTGCTCACGCTGCTGTCGGTTGGCTCCCGAGTCCGTAATCTCTCTAGCAGGCGTCCAGCAAGCCGCCCACGAGGCTTCCAGTTTCCTGCTGCACCGGGGGGCAGGGCCTGGGTTCAGGGTGCTCATTATAAACAGCACAGAGGCCAGAGCACCAGGAGACGGCCGGGACAGGGCTGGAAGGGCTCAGAGGCGTCACCCTCAGACCCTTGCTGGGTCTTGTGGGGGGAGGGCGAGCGTGGGGGAGGGCAGGCTGCTGGCTGGAGTCAGGCTGGAGGCGGGGACAGGGGAACAGAATTCGGTGTGCTCACTGTCACCTCTGCCACAGGCACGTCCACACACTCGTGACACGCCGCAGGGGGTCCTCACCCTCCCGGAGGCCCCCCGGGGCCACACAGCTGCTGGGTTCCCGGTGGCCACTCCCCGCTTACCCGGCAGTAGACACCCAACAGGTTACTGTCGTGGGAAAAGAGAGGGGGCTGCTTGCTTTCCGGATATGCTCTTGAGAGTTGCGCTTTACTCGAGTGACAGGTGCATCGCTCTGCGGTGGGAAGCCACACACGTGAGTCTTCACCCCGGCTGACAGCCGCAGCTGCTGCTCCTTCCCGCTCCTCCAGTGGGATTCCCAGCTGCGTGCAGCTCCCCCTGTGGGCGGCAGCGGGAACCGCAGCCCACCTTGCACCTCCCCTGTGCTTGGCCCTCCAGCCCAGCGAAGCGCTTTATCCAAGTCCCAGGCCCTGCAACACTACTGCTGCTTCTCATCCAACCCAGGGAGGGGCACACTGTCACGTCTTTTCCAGCCAGCATGGTGGGGGGGGCGGTGCACGCTTGTACCTGCAGCGTGTAAGGGGACAAGGCCCCTGCCTCCGTACTGCACTGGTGTGGGAGGAGGGGTTCTCTGCTGCCCACTCAGGACAGAGGGAAACTCCCCTGCACCCTCCCTGCGGGAGCTCGGGGGAGAAGCGGACACAGCGGCCCAGCTTTGCTGGGCTGAGCTCGGCTTTTCATGCCTGGAAGATGCCGGCTCCCCGACCTCCAATCACTGCTCCGAGCTCCACTTCTCAGCCTCTGGGGAGATTTCGGGTCTCCCTGTTGGGTCTTACCAATCAGAAATCCAGACGAGGCCCCCGCTACAGACCACAGGCTGGTCCACGACACACCCTGGAGAAAGTCAGCAGCCAGCAGCAAGAGGATGGAGTTTTCCAGCAGCATCACTTAGAGAACCAGGAGAGTGCCTCCTGTCAGGGGTACAGCCACAGCCTGCTGGAGCTGCACAGACAGTGCCCAGGCCCCAGGACTGGCACGCTCACACACACACGCACACACACGCTCACACACGTGCACACGCACGCAAGCGCACACGTACGCTCACACACGCACACACACGCACGCTCACACACATGCACACACACATGCAGACGCACACGCGCACACACACGCACACACGTTCTCATGCACACACATGCACACACACGCGCACACATGCACACGCACGCTCACACACGTGCACACACATGCGCACACACACGTGCTCATGCACACACGCACACACACGTGCGCGCACACACACGCACACTCACACACGCACACAGGTCACATGTACGTAAAATCCAGGAGGGTGGAGGCCGCCATTGCCACTTGCCAGGTAGAGGCTGACCACACGTGCTCACGCACACACGCACACGCACACACACGTGCGCGCACACACACGCACACTCACACACGCACACAGGTCACATGTACGTAAAATCCAGGAGAGTGGAGGCCGCCATTGCCACTTGCCAGGTAGAGGCTGGCCACCCTGCTTCTGGAAGGGCCGTCCCAGAAGCTGGGGTGCAGAGGGTGAGCGCAGCCCGCCAGCAGGCTGAACAGCCTCCAGAGGCACGTGCCCCCTCGACGTCGCTGTGCTGGGCTCCGGGCCAGGCCATCACCAGCCAGTGAGCACCTGGAGGCCAGTGTGCAAGTCAGGGAGGGGGTGGAGTGAGAGCTCAGCGCCGGCAGACACCCCAGACCCAGAAGAGCGTCGGGGCACAGACCCGAGTCCGCGTCTCAAGGACGACCCCACTTGAACCTCCTAAGGGATGTTCGCCCTAGTTTGGGGATGAGAAGACAAAGGCTAGCGTCAGTAACACGTGCCAGATGCCATGCACGATGCCCGCTTAGTCCCCGCAGCAGTTATAAACTGTCTGCTGTTTTTAAGCTTGTAACCACATGAGCCAAACCCTCCACCCCAAAGGGCAGTACTCTTTAGTCCAGCTAGACTTTTTACTTATAGTCGCAGACAAAAAATATCCTGCCAGAGTATGAGCTGAATTCTGAAATGGAGGAGTGACGCACTGTTAATCTCCCTTTTCTGCCAATAGCTGCATTAAATGTGTGCTCTGGGTCCAGGGGCCAAATATCTCTCAGTGTCCCCAATTCTCCTAAAACAAGAGCTCACTGTTTGTTCTTGCACAGTCGCTGGCGGCCAGCGGAGGCTGCAGCACTCGCCAGTGACACACAGGCCTCATTCAGGCGTCTGCAGACTCTCCGTCATCACCTAACCGTGTCCCGAGGGCTGGGTGCCGTGGGGACAGCACCATACGTGTACTACCATACAAGAACGTACCTACAGACACGTACGTTTGTATGGGTATCACATGTGAGATGTGCCGCGCTCGAGTTAGAGACTCCTAGACTAGTGGACCTCCAGAGGGAGCTGCCCCCACGTCCTGACACCCCCTCTTTGAGCTCGGTGTTCACGGATTGTTCATGGCAGTAGAACATGGTAGAAATCATGAGGAGATTATTCTAGGCCTGTCAGCTGCCAAGGCTGAGTCCTGGCAGCTCCATCCCAGGAACCTGGATACCTGCTTTTCTGGTGCACACGAAAGATTCCCCCCCCACCACCACCCCGGGCTCGATCTCAACCCCAGACCATCTCCGTGCAATCTGTTTATCTGGAACCTTCCTGCTCTCCTCCAGAAAGTTCCTTCCCTAGACTCATACTCAAGTCCTGGCTTCCTCCATACACCGCCCGGCGGCCCCCAGGCCCCACGGCCGACCCTGCAGTTTCCGGGTCAGCAAGGCCTCTTCCGCCCGGCTGGCCGGCATCCAGACGGGCCTGGAGGCCAGAGGCCTCCCTGTCACCCGGCCACCTGCAGGGCTGCCAGACGCCCAGCACCAGGGCTTCTGCGTGCAACGTGCCTGCAGGGTTCTGAGAGGCTTGCTGTTTGAGACATGGGTCAGGGGAGAGCTCAAAGACTTTGTTTTTTACAAGCCCCTGGACAATAATGAGGACCCAGTCTGGAGGCCAACCCTTGCGGGCCCTCTCCACTTCCCGAATTCAGTCTCAGAGGCTGTACTGAACCCTGTGTGTCTGCAGCCCCTGGGGGCCCATACAAGTTACCAAATGTGAACAGATAAACACCGAGCACGGTGAGTTGTGTTGATGAGGGTCCAAGATTCCTTGCTGCATAAAGAACAACATACCATCTAAATTGAGGTTTGGAAATACGATGAACCAATCTAACTTGAGTCTCTGGAATTACGTTCTAAGCCAACTTTAATCTTTCCTCATTAACAGATTAAGTAAATCACCAAACATCAACTACAAACAGAACGGTAAATCCTGGGCTCAAGTTGGAAAATAAGTGATTTTTCTTTCTATTTTAATATTTTTGGCAACAATAGACCTGAGCTAATTTATAATCTCAGTAATGGCTCTTTTAATGTGTGTGTGTGTGTGTGTGTGTGTGTGTTGTTGGTCCTGGGGCTTGAACACAGGGCCAAAGCACGGTTCCCTAGCTTTTTTTGCTCAAGAGTAGCACTCTATCACTTGAGCTACAGCTCCACTTCTGGCTTTTTGGTGGTTAATTGGAAATAGTCTCATAGACTTTTCTGCCTAGGCTGGCTTTGAACAATGATCTTTAAATCTCAGCCTCCTGAACAGGTAGAATTACAGGCATGAGCTACTGGCATCCAGCTTTTTAAAAATAATTTTAAATACAAATATACATCCAATTATGCCAAACTTTTTACACTTTAATGATTTAACTTTCAATTTAAGAACTTTCAGACTTATACTAAAGAGGAATTACTAAGCCGAGATGCTGATTAAGGAAGCGATTAGCTAGTTTAGCTATTTCCTCATCATTTCAGGCTGTTTCCAAATGAATCCATAGACTTAAAGTGAGGATTAAAAAGGTGTTGGTATAGCAGTAGAGTGGACACATTTAAGTGGAAAATAGTGACCATCTTTGTTTAAACAAGTCGTTATGAATGTCAGTTTCTCTTAAACAGATAGACCTAGCATGGATAGTTTATATTCTCTGGAGTTTAAAAGAGAATAATAGTATGTTTCGAATCCTTGCATTTCTTATAAGTAACTTGAATTCAAAAACTTTGCATTGGGAAAAAAATTTCTTTTTGTTGTTTGAGGAGTCTTCTGCTTTTCATTATGTAGTCAGTTAGCACAACAGATCTGTCCGGGCAGCTCTAGGTTGTGCCAAAAAAAACAAAAAAAAAAAAACAAAAAAAAACCCCGCAGATATTTTGGCTCCCCCTACAGGCACGTTTGCCAAACTACAATTTTAAAAAGCAATTAATACAACTACCCAGTGTTGGATGAGAGTCCAGGGCTAGTTTCAGAATGAGAAAGGGGTTGCGGCCTTCTACCTTAACTCTCAAAGCATTCTGCCGAGGTGGTATGTGTCTGTATTTTGGATAACTTATAATTTCAGAAACGAGAGTGTGTGGCTTACGCTTGCTGTGGCTTTCACCGAAGCTTAGAGATGAATTCGTGGCCCCTTTCTAAAATCTGTACGTTCCGGATGGCTTGTGTGCTAACATCCCGCCCTTCTCTGGCTTTTCTCCCCTTTGTATCCCCCCTCTTTTAGAGGGTGTTGATGTGGATGTCACCTTAACTTCGTTTTCAGATTAGTTACACAGAACTAGTCACTTGCCTAATTTCTAATTTTCACTTCTCACATTATCTTCCAAGTATATACCAGCAAACCAGGGTAGCACTGAAGGCTCTGGGGGCCAGGGTGCTGGGGGTGGGGTACGGGGGTGAGGTCCTCCGGGCAGGCCAGCAGCCTGGAGCTGGGCAAGCCTCACACCTCCCACGGAACCTCTGAGGAAGGCTGCGGGTCCCCACGGAGGGCAGACTTTTCTCCTTTTGATCTATCAAATGTTTGCTCACGCGAAGCGGGTTCACTGTTAGGGTATGTCCCCAAGGCCTCACTCAGGACCACCACGGCCAAAGTTAAGTCGAGACCCACAGCGGAGACTTCCGGTCTCAGTATGAGGCCCGCTGATGGGGGCAGGGTAGGCACACGGCAGACAGTGCTTAGAAGAGGCCGCGGTTCTGAGTCCAGCAAGACCCAGGCTGACCCCAGTCCCTCTGGAGGAGCAGCGTGGCCAGCTCGGGAGGATCTGTTGTGGACAGTGTGCTCTGCTACTCCAAAGAGGAGGGCCTCGCCGTGGGGTTGTGCGATCGGCAAGGTTTCTCCATGTCTTTCTCGCAAACTCCTTGCGCTCTGACCTCAGCTGCTACCCTGGCTAGGGTGGCCAGTGCCTGTGCAACTTCCTGCAGACACAGGGCCCACTGGAAAAGCTGAGGACTAATGTTTGAAGCCAGCCTGGGTGGGAAAGTCCGCGAGACTCGACTCTCCAATTAACCACTCAGAAGCCGGAAATGGAGCTCAAGTGGTAAGAGTGTTATCCTTGAGTACAAATGCTTGGGGACAGTGTCTTTTCCCTGACTTCAAGCCCCAGGACCAGCATAAAAAAAAACAAAACAAAAACAACAGGAAGGTGGCTCAGCGGTAGAGTGCCTGCATGAGGCCCTGAGTTCAATTCCTCAGCACCACATAAGCAGAAAAAGCCTGAAGTGGTGCTGTCACTCACGTGGTAGAGCGCTAGCCTTGAGCTGAAGAGTTGAGGGACGGCACCCAGGCCCAGAGTTCAGGCCCCACCACCAAAAGCACTTGAACCACAGGCTCCTTCACCAAGGTGACCCCTGACTTCTCTTTGTAAAATATCTCCTTCAACTCTTCACACGGGGCTAGGTGGTCACTGTCACATGACTAGCACCCGAGCCCCGCCCCTCATGGTAGAAATAATGCCTGGCCTTCCAAAGCCTCTGTAAACCACAGCGAAGCCATCAGCAATGCACCCCCCCCCCCCCCCGTGGCTGTCTTTGGCTCTGGTTTTGCAGATAACTTCTTCCTCCTGCAAAAGCTTGGAGAAAATGCTAGCGGGTGGGGTGGACGTGAGCGTGACCCGTCAGAGGCCGGTCAGGAGCCCCACGGGCTGAGGCGCTGGTGCCGTGTGGCTGTTTCCAGACGCCCAGCTGCAGCAGGTGCAGCATCGCTCGGAACTACACACAGCTCAGGCCCTGGACCAGGAAGCCAGGCAGGAGGATGGAAAGGGCCAGCCACCCCAGAGAGGGCGTCTGGTGGTGACGTAGCAGATCTCGGGCAGAGCCTGGGGAGAAGAGAGGAAGAGTTGTTGGAAGCATGGAGGGGGAGGAGGTCTGCACGGTAGACAGTGGAAGCTTTGTGTGTTCCACGGGCTCTCCCCTGGCCAGGGCTGTGCCGCCGGGCACACCCTGCCGGGCCACGCACCCAGGCGACTGTCCTCCCGGCCTCCTGGAGTCCTGCAGCGCCCACTGGCACTGGCCACACTCGGGCATCCTGCACCGCTCAGCTGTGGGCCCTGCCCTTTCCCGGGCTCCTGACCTTCTGGCCTTCTGCCCCGGTGACCCTGTGGACCGCTGTCCACCGGACCTCTGAACACGGCCACCCTCACCCCTGCCCTCTCACGCTGTCCGCCTGATGACGATCTCATTACATCAAAGCAACAAGAACCACCTGACCAGCCCGCGCAGCGTAGGGCCGCCTGCTCGACCTGCTGGACCCGGCCAGGGACCAGGGGGCAGGGGAGCGCGGTGTGGGGGCTTCGGACAGGCAGCAGCGCGAGCCGGTCCAGGCCAGGGTCAGCTCCGCGGCCAGGCAGATGCTGGGCGCGGGGCTCCACCCCACCCCGGCGTCC